CGGCTTTCCGCTTCTGTGCGGCCTCCGTGGGCCCCCGAAAAGCTGGTGCTGGGCCTCGGGGGGCGCCGTCAAAACCAAAAGAAAGGGGCCCCGGGACACGCAAACAGGTACGCACAACTCCCAGGATCTCCCTATATTTTCCCACATGTTCTGGGTTTTCGTCTTTCTCCCCTACTTTCCATATTTTCCCATCTTGTCCTGGAGATCGTCGATTCCGTGTGTCTCTGTGTGTTTCCTCTTCCCCTCCTGAAAGCAAAAAAACAAAAAGCACTCTCGGGATGAAAAGCCGGTCATCTGGGAACGGGCCGAGGCCTTCGGGGGCCGACGTCCTGCAGACATCATGACGTCGGGGGTCTGGATCGTGATCGTGTTTCAAATCACTGCTTTGCCGATCGGCGCGGGCCCTCGCAGCCCCCCGCCCCTCCCCCCCATGGAGTGGGTCTTGGCTGTTTCTGGCGCCCGCTTCGAGAGGGTGAAGTCTCCCCCAGAGACAGCAGTCGTGCAAGCAGTCGCACTAAAGCGAAGGTCTGGAGCCCCCCCCCCTTTTCCGCCCAATGTCGAAACGCCGAATAAGAAACGCGCACATCTCGGAGTGCAGTGGAGGCCAGTCCACAAGAAACCTTCCGCAAGAGACCCAGCCCTGAGACCCCAGGGCGTCCATGGGTTTTTGGCGTGGGGCCGTCACGCTTGCCATCGCAGAACAATCGAAACCCAAGAAACCCAAGGCACCCTGGAGGCAAGCAGGGTGTTTCTTGGCATGGGTCTCCACTGTAGAAGGCCACCACCACCCAGAACCGATCGGGGAGGACCCATCCCTGGGCGACGGCACGCCAAAGCGTTGCCTTGCACTGGGTGACCCTCGGGCGTACCGCCGCCCAGGGGTTGGCCCCCACGGATGGAATCTCGGTGGCAGTGGTCCTCCTCCTCCTCCTTCTCCTCCTCCTCCTCCTCCTCATCATCATCCTCCTCCCCCTTCTCCCCCTCTTCCTACTCCTCCTCCTCCTCCTCCTCCTTCTCCTCCTCCTCCTCCTCCGACCATCGGCTTCGAAACCGAGATGTATCTGGCGGGGTCACGGACCACAACTCAACTTCAGCCAGCATCGAACGAGAAAATCAGATCGACCCGGCGGGTGCGTCGTCGGACCGGGCTGCACCGAGTGTGCACAAGAGAGGCGCCGTGCAGGCATCGGGCCGCATCGGAGGGCCAGAGAGCAGCTTCGAGCCAGGTCGAACCCAGCAGGCCCGAAATCGAATCGGATCGATCAGCTCGGAGCGGGCCCCCCAGAGATCCGATGTCGTGATTTTCTCAATGCGGCCCCCCCAGAAGCCTCGACCCATTCCCGGGGACCGGTTTTTCGTCCTGAGTCGTTTATTTACGGCCCCGCGGCCCGGCGAGGGCCCCTGGAGGCCGAAAACGGCGAACAACCCCCGTCTTGATTTTTTCAATGCGTTGGATCTCTGGGCCCGCTGCCCCCGCCGCCGGGGGCCCCAAAACGGCCCAGGCGGTGGAGGCGGCCAGGCCAGAGGGGGGCTGGTGCGTGGACCGGGTGCCTGTGCGTGCTGGATGGCCTGGGGGCGGCCTCGGGAAGGCACCCGAGTGGCCAGTCGCAGGCTCGAAGACGCGGATGCGGCTGCTCCGCCGCCCACCCCCCCCACGGGGAGACCAAGATGTATAGAGATCGCTACAGTCAAGCCGTAGAGTAAGGATGCGCGATAAGGATGCGAGGGCCTTGGACGCCCATTTCGAAGCGTTTCGAGCGGGGCGCGGCCAACAAAAGTGTCCAAGGATGGACCCAGGTGGCCCAGGCGGCAAGGATGCAAGGGTACCCTTGGGAGGGATGCCTATCCTTACTCTGCGGGTCGACTGTACTCCCCAGAGCTCTCCTGGGCCGCCTTCTGGCCAGGACTTCGAGGCAATCCAGCGGTGGCGACGAGGGCCTCCCAGGAGGCCGAAAAGAAGAGGGGAAAGCGAGGGAAGGATGGCGACATCGGTACCGCTTCCTCCCCTGACCCCCCCCCTCCCCTCAGGGGCGCACCGTCACGAGGGCAGCGTAGAGGCTGTCCACGCGCCCCGAGCAGAGCTGGGCGCGCGGGTGCGCGGCTCGCGCCGCTTGCGCCGCCCGCGCCGTCGCGGCAGCGTCGGGCGGGCGCGGGGCGTGGGGCGCGGGGCGGACTGGACTGAGCCGATCGGGCTCGAGGGCCTCACGCTGCATCTTCGGGGGGCCTCGTCTGTCCCGTCGCGCCCCTATCCGCGTCGAATCCGCGTCGAATCCGCGTCGAATCCATGTCGGGCTCGTGGCATCCGCGTCGAATCCACGTCGAATCCGTGTCGGATCCGCGCCCAATCCGCGCCGAGTCTGCGTCGAGCCCGCGTCGGGCACGAGAAACGACACCCGTTCTTGGGACAGGCGAGGCCCCCCGAAGAGGCAACGTGAAAGACCGATGATCGAGCTCTTGTTTTCCATGTCAGAATCAGCCGTGAAACGAGCCTGCTGCAGGCCGTGGAGCGAACACCTGCTGCAGGCCGGGAAGGGCCACAAAGGGGCTGCGCAGACGACCCTGGTGCAGGCCGTGAAACGACGGACACTATAGATCGAGGTTGCCTGAAGCTCGGGTCGGGCGAAACGGGGGCATTGGGAAAGGGGGGGGGTCGAAATTTGCTGCCTGCAGCTAAGGGGGGGTTTGAGAATCAGCTCACGTAGCTGATTTTCCCGGCGCCTCCCGGCGCCGGAGGCGGCCATGCATCGAGGGATGGGCCCCTCGGCGAGGCCGAAACCAGCTGCATGCAGCAAATTTCGTACCCCCCCCTCTCCCCATCCCCCCTTCTCGCCCGACCCGATTGAAGCATGGGGGCATTCTGGGCAGAGGTCGTCCACTCAGCAGAAAATTGGTAGCCGGTAGGCTCGCCAAAGTCGCCAGCCCCATGCGGATCCCGAAACTTTGCATACGACTGGCTCTCAGCTTCCAAACCTCGTGCGCGGGGGAAGAGGAGGGGGAGCAACAAGCTGTTCAGCAAACGAATGAATGCATACGCGCTGACATCCCTGACGCCGACACAAAATCGCTTCCATCGAGGAACGCATCATGAACACGAGAGCGAACGCCGTCATGCGAAACCTGCCTCGGCAATCGAGAAAGCGGGTACGCCGTGCTCGCTCGGAGCCGCTAGCTGGAGAAGAGACGTGTGGTGTACACACGCGGGCGAAGGCTTCGCTGCTTCCTTTATAAGGGGACACAAAGATACCCATGCCGCTAATCTTAGGTCGGGCGTGTCCCCTCCACAGGAGATCTTGCACGAACAATTAAAAAAAACACTCATATAGATTCAAAGCATATTCAAAAACTGGTACAACAAATCGTCCTCTGACTACTTTTGGACTATTTTGGAGTATTCCTGTGGAGGGACGGGCACGACTTAAGGCTAGTCCCTCGACCTCGCCCAGGGTGCGGTCTGACCAACACTTCGAGCCGAATCCAGCCCCGGCGACGAGGAACGGGCAACGGTTTCGGTATCTTTCTCTCCTCTGATCCTTGTGGTCATCTTCTCCCAGCAGGCCTCCGACATCATACCCGGCATGCCCAAGGTGCTTCACGTAGCAATTCAAGTACTGGATGCCCTCATCCGTGTGACCATGGGCAACTTTGATCTGCACCTTTCCGAACTTTACCCATTTCGGCGTTTCGTGGATCTGCTTCCGAGCGTTGAAATTGAGTCCGCCGATTTGGGTCGCCTCCGCCCACTCTCCTGTAATGTTCAGCTCTTGAAAGTACAGATCAGCACACTGTCCACCCAATCGACGTGCGTCAGCCTGTACACGAAGCAGCGCATTCTGGGCGAGCTCTCCCTTTGGAATTTGAATCAAAACGTGCTTGCCAGGCATCATCAAGTCGAACCGCTCGCCATGCACGTTTTGTAAATGCGGATCGCCAGTGGCAGAAATTGAATTCTGTTGCGGGGTGGAAGCCAGGGTCGGGGCCTGCGTAGGAGCGGGGGTCGGTACCAATGTAGGAGGGCACACAAGGACCAGCTCGTTCCAATGATTATCCGGCACCCGCACGAAGGTATTCGCATAGTCGCAGTGCCAGAAGTATGGATCCAATACGGTAGCTGCGCACTTGTGAAAGAAGGCTGTTCGATTGGCATTCAAAGTAGGCAAAGCAGCCGAGAACTCCGCCTCCGTAGCGTAGCGCAACTGAGGGCAGAACCACGCATACGAGCAAACATCGATTTGGGAACACCCGCCAGAGCACGGAGAAGCCCATAGGAAACATAGGCCGTTGACGTAGAAGCAATAGTCATCCACTGTTGTTGACCAAGGGTCTGTGCGATGTGTGCCTGAGGCATCGTGCTTCCAGCAAATATTCCAATGTGACGACTCCGACTTCCCCGTGAATGTGATGTCAGATTTCGGTGTGTCCAATGGGGCTGGGTACTCATGATAAGGGTCCACCGATGCGATGTCGATATCGTAGCCCGAATCGGTGCTGCCTAGCTGAATTGGCACCGACACGTCCACCATCACCGTGCAGCTGCCCATGCCTGAGCCGGAAATACATTCATCTTCTAAGTTGCATTGCATCTTTCCTTGCGTGTTGATTCCTCGCAGCCATTCATAGTCACCCGTCCCAACCTCGCCGACGCTGTGAACACCCAGCTTCATAGCTCTAGCGTCGACAAACACACAGACAGCGGCCGTGGCATAACCGATGCAACGCATGCGAAGCCGCCACCGTGCCTGCGAGGCACGAGTTGGAATGTCCGCAGGCCCCTTGATCAATGACCTGATCCTCGTCCCTCGATCCACAAGATCTTTTCAGAGGCCCGGCCCCCCAATTCTCAAATCTCACGGGGCTTCTGGCGCGCGCAGGGCGTCTGCCCGCATGGCATTCTCGGGCCAATGAGCCCAACAACGGGCCAAGAGAACTCAGACGGTCCAAGAGGGCCTCGAGTCGCCGAACGATCGGTCCAAGGCGCGATGGCGGGTTGGGCCGAAGGCCACTAGATATGTAAGAGAGAAGTAGGTGCTTCAGCATGTAATTGTCAGGGAATGTGCTTCGTCAAAATCTGAGCCAACATGCATTGGGAAGCAGCACATGAGGGTGGGTAATGAAGATACTGAAGAGGAGGGGGAGGGAATGGGAAGAAGGGCGACCAGAAGGGGAAGATGCGCAGCAGGAGCAGGAATAACCATGAAAGCAGCTCGCTGGACCCCGTGGAATGGCAAAATCGTAGAGAGCCCTTTTTGACGTGCGCTGGGCCCGGAAACCATCCAGCACTTACGGAATGTCAAGAAGAGGACACTCAGGCGCAATCCCTTTGAGTCGCTGTGGGGTCTGGGCCTCTGGGAGCACACGAACCTGCCTTGGCGTGCGCTTCGACCAGGATTCCGACTGGAATCGGATCGTGGCGACGAGGACGCTCCAGGAGGCCCACAGGGCGAACAACGTGCGCAGACCCGATCCTCTAACCTGAAAGGGCAACTGTTTGCCAGCGTGGACCCCGAAACAGTTACCTGTTGCACCGCACTCTGTTGCAAGCTATGTGCTGCAACGCATGCGGTGTGAGCTATAAAGTGCACGCACGGTGCACCCACTAGGCGGCCACGAGCGGCAACGTTGCGAAACCTCGCCGAGGAGGCCACCCCAGCCCTGCCGCCAACGCCGCTCCCGGCTGCCCAGATGCCGGCGCCGCCGCAGCCTTGCAGGAGGGTTTGGTAGGATCGCGCGTGCGACCACAGGACCCGCTGATGGCCCAGGTGGCCTGGGGGCTGCGCGTGGATGGCCCCGCAGACCACGGCGGGCTGGTGGACGGGGCGCAGACTGCGCAGCGCGCCGAGCTGACCGCTGCCGTCCACGCGGTCAACATTCCTTGCGGGTGCGGGGCGCCAATGGAAATTGCCACGGACCCCCGCTTCGTCCGCAGTGGCGTCACCGCCCTGCGCGCCGGCGCATGCTGCCTCGATCGGGCGCATTCCGGTCATTGGGAGCGCGTCGCGCAGCACAGCTGGAGCGCGGGTTCCTCACGGCGCGGTGGATCAAGGACCGCACGGATGCCGAGGCAACGCTCGCCCAGGGCATACCCGAGGAGGACAAGGCGGGTAATGCGGCTGCCAACCGGCTGGCAGGCGCGCCCGCTTGCCGCCGCCAGCCCCCTGCTTGGAACGCGATTGCAAGCTGACGGCCCTGCGCGCTGGCCGCGGCGCAGCGAGTGCTCGCTGCAGCTGAGCTGGCCGCCTTGCGGGCTGACCTCAGGTCGGGCATGTCCTCCTACAGGCGGACTTTGAAAGAAAAAGGGGGAAGAGTTTCTTAAAGAGATTCAGCAATAGTCAGAAATAGTTGGAACATCGGCCCCAGAGCATCTTTTGCATTAGTTTCGAATGCTCCTCCTGTAGGCCCGGACCCCCAACGCCATGATTTTCCCAGAACGTCGACTCTCCCAGGGCTCGACCCATTCCCCGGGACCAGCTCCTCCTCCTGCATCGCTTCTTGACGGCCCCCAGGGCCCGTGAGGGCCTCGCGCGCGAGGCCGAGCATATACCGAAGAATCCTCTAAAACAGGGCTAGGATCGGGATGAATCGCTCCAGAGCGTTCCGGAGCGCTCTCAGAGCGTTCCGGAACGCTCTGGAGCGGCCGCGGCGCCCAATACATCCTCCAAACCCGCCGATTCTCAGAGATTTCGAGTTATCCCGATCCGATTTTGTCCCGATCTTCGCGTCGCGCCGTTTTACCCTCCCGTCGTGAGCTGTTCGCTGCCCGACAGGGTCCGGGCAGGGCCCCGCCCGACCCCAGGCCGGCCGCGAGCCGCCCGCCAGGCGGCCCGCACGAGCGCCGCCGCCGGACGGGCGCGCGCGGACCCCGCGCCGCTCAGGGGAAGGGGGGGCAAGAAGAGAAGGGGAAGAAGAGGAGGATGAGGAGGAGGAGGAGGAGGAGGAAGAGGAGGAGGATGAGGAGGAGGATAAGAATGCATCAAGCTAGCCATGGGCGTGTCCCCCCACAGGGGGATTTGGACGACAAATTAAAAACACTCAAAAAATACCCCCAAAAGATGCCCAAAAATATTCAAAAAGTAGTCCCCAGACTATTGCTTTACTATCTTTGAATATTCCTCCTGTGGAGGGACAGGCCCGAACGCTCGGGCCCGGTCCCCGCAGGGCAGCTCCAGCGGCGCAGGACCTGATGGGCACACTGTACTGTCCACCACTGCCATCAGGTCGGGCGTCGTGTACAGTCAACCCGCACAGTGAGGATGCGCGAGAAGGATGCAAGGGCCTTGGAGGCCCATTTCGAAGCTTTTCGAGCGGGCCGCGGCCAATGAAAGCGGCCAAGGATGGGCCGAGAAAGCAAGGATGCAAGGGTACCCTTGGGAAGGTTGCCCGTCCTTACTATGTGGGTTGACTGTACACTCGGACTTCATTGGACAGGACAGGCGAGAGGACACCCTTCCGAGTGCCACATCGTCACAGGAGTGCAAGAAGGCACGTGTCGCGAGGCACAGGACACAAGGGTACCCTTGAGCTGGCAAGGTCGACCTACTAATCCGGGCCGACTGTACAAGCGGACTGTGCACGAAAAATTAACAATGATCAAAGCATATCCCCAAAATGATCAAAACATCGCCACCAACAAAGTAATCAAGAGATCGTCCCCAGACTATTTTTGCTGTTTTCGAATATTCCTCCTGTAGAGGGACAGGCCCGACTTAACACTACCACATGTAGGACGGGGGAGAAGGGAGGATGAGGAGGTCTTCCGCCTCCTCCTCCTCCTCCTCCTCCTCCTCCTCCGCCTCCTGCTCCTCCTCCTCCTCCGCCCCCTCCTTCTCCTCCTCCTCCTCCGCCTCCGCCTCCCCCTCCTCCTCCTTCTCCTCCTCCTCCTCCTCCTCCTCCTCCTCCTCATCCGCCTCCTCCTCCTCCTCCTCCTCCGCCTCCTGCTCCTCCACATCCTCCTCCTCCGCCTCCGCCTCCTCTTCCTGCTCCTCCTACCTTTAAGTCGGGCCTGTTCCCCTACAGCCTACAGGGGGATTCTCGACGAAAAATAAGAAATACCGAAAAATAATTAAAAATAGTCCAAAAATAGTATGGGGACTATTTTGGTTTTTTGTTGCCTTCTTAGGGAATGTTTGGGGTATTTTCTATTTTTCGTCGAATATCCCCCTGTAGGGGGACACGCCCGACTTAATCCTACCTATGGTGGTGGTGGTGGAGACTGGGCGCATCATGACCCCCCCTCCGCCGGGCGGCGCTGGAGGACGCAGGGCGGCGGTGGAGGCCAGCGGGATCGGCGCGCCACCCCTCCCGGACAGGATCGCGTCGTGCAGGAATTCAGGACGGGAGGCTTCCAGAGATCCAACGCATTGAAAAAACTCAAGACGGAGGCTGTTCGCCGTTTTCGGCCTCCAGGGGCCCTCGCCGGGCCGCGGGGCCGTCAAATAGCGGCTGAGGACGAAAAGCTGGTCCCGGGGAGTGGGTCGAGACTTCCCGGGGGGGCCGCATTGAGAAAACATCGCGACATCGGCTCTCAGGGTTTTTGGCGCGTTTCGGCCTCGGGGCGCCCTCGCTGGGCCTCGGGACCCCTCAAAACAACGGCTCAGGAGGAAAAGCCGGTCCCGGGGAGAGGGTCGGGACTTCCAGGGGCCCCGCACTGAGAAGGTCAGGACGTCGCAGGTCTGGGCTGAGATCCTGGCGACTCGCTGTGTTTTCGAGCCGGGCGCGTCTGATCGTCTATAATTATCGGGCCCCGGGGCCCTCGCAGGTCGATGCGGCTCGAAGACGGTTGCAGAAAGATGCAGTCGGGGCGTTGACCTGAGGAACCCCAAACAAGGAACGAGGCCCCTTTTCTCCATGAGTTGAACTTCGATGTCCCATCGAAAACCTACGGAAAACAGAAGGCAAGCTGTGAAACACTTAAGGAACACGGAGCCCCTCCCAAACGAGAAGGGTTCCTTCTTCAGGGCCCCGACTGTACAGGCGGACTTTGAAAGAAAAGGGGGGAAGAGTTTTTGAAAGAGATTCCGCAATAGCCAAAAATAGTTGGGACATCGGCCCCAGAGCATTTTCTGTACTCTTTTCGAATGCTCCTCGAACAAGGTTGGGGGTCCAGTCGCGAATTCTGCGATGCTGCCCTCTTTTTGGCGACGTCGGCTCTCGGGGACCGGCTCCGGCCGGGGCGGTGCGCGCCCTCTACCCGCGGAAGCACCGCGCGGCGAGGGCGCACGCAGCGCGGCGCTTCCGCAGCGCCGGGGGGGGGGGCGCAGCTGTCGGCGAGGCCGCCGCCTCCGCCTCCGCCTCCGCCTCCTCATCCCTCCTCCTCCTCCTCCTCCTCCTCCTCCTCCGCCTCCGCCTCCGCCTCTTCCTCCTCCTCCTCCTCCTCCTCCTCCTCCTCCTCCTCCTCCTCCTCCTCCTCCTCCTCCTCCCCTCTTTTTCTCCGCTGCCACGCTGCTGCCGACGCCAGCGGTGCGCGCCTCCGGTGCGTGCTGGCGGCGCGCGGAGGGCTGGCGCGCCGCCCTGAGCGCGCGCCTGCACGTACGGCCTGGACCGC